CTTCTGTCTGGATGAGAACAACTTTTAGGAAAGCAAGAATATTTTTGCTGATTATGACATGTATGCGGCTAAACGTAAAATTAGAGAAATACATTGAATGTAAGGAATACCGGTAAGAAGATATGTAAAAATTACTTGTGCTTAATTAATAGACTCGGGGATAGAGATTGAGTTGAGCCGCCTGCAAAAACGAGGCAATGTAACTAGCCTTTTCTTTTCTTGGTTCTAATCATAGACACTTTTGTATACTTTTAGCTCACTCTTTCTCTCACTCATTTTGACAAAAAACAAAAAATAGGTTCATCAACATAATCAGATGTGTGTCTAACCTTGCGCAATCGGAGCGATGGCTATAACATGTATGTAGAAAGGGGGAGATAGTGGTCATCAAAACTTGATGGCCGAGAACAGACGCTACTTTCGCTGTCGTCATTTTGAGCCATCACTTCGGGTTTCGTGCATAAGCAATCACAAACGGGCACATGTACATACAGAGACAGACACACTCACAGGTTTCGAGGTTGACATACGACTGTAACTAATCAAATCACTTTATACCTGATCAAAGAGAACAGATATAGAGTATATCTTTGGGAAAATTCTTCTACCAGTCCTTCATCACCTCATTGCGGTAGAGTATATATACCGCTTTTAAAAGATTTGCTGATGAGTTTCCTTGACTCGTTAGCTTGAATCTGGTTGTGACGATGATACCTTCCTCTGATGATGCTCGTCATGTGACGGACGAAAGCTTAGCACCTTTCACCGGAATCAAAGGAGATTACCTCGGAGACAGCGTCACCATGAATATTCAGGTAAAGCCAATCTACAGCTGGTCAAGAATAATTCGCCATCATCTTCTGATAGAATCGACCTTCGAATCTTTTAACCAAGCACTTTCACTCGAAATGAAAATAAGCTCAACACTAGTCAATGGGTTTAGTTACAACTAACTCTGTAAAAGAGCTTCTGCAAAAATGGTAAAGCTATGATTTCCCTTGCAGACATGGAAACAAAGAAGAATAAAAGTTTTGGGTTATGATCAATAAGTAGTCAAAAAAATCTATTGTAAAGTAAAAAATCCTGCGAAAACAAGATCCTAAAAATATAATACCTAGGGTTGCCCCAAGCTAGCAGTAAAAAAATTTAGAACTTCTAAAATACTGGCGAAATCATGCTTATATCGTAAATACGAAGAACAATATAGATTAAGGGTAAAGCCGAATATAAAACGAACCTGCGCCTTAGGAGAATGCTTTGGGCCTCTGAAGTCTCCGGTATGAACCAAAGCAGAGCCAATGGACAGTGCCGGGCGGACAAAAGCTGCTGAACTAATAGTTCCAGCATCAGGAATCTCGCGTAAGCCAAGCGCCATTGAAACAATAGCTGTCATGTGTGTCTCAGGACCAAATACGAAGAGTGGAAGACCAAGCTGAATGCCTTTAGGCAAGGACATCAAACGAATGCAGAGAAATTAACATTTACCAAAGGGGTGAATAGAAATTAGATTAAGAGTTTCCCAGAATAATAGAGAAAAGTAATAAATAATAAAAATGTAAAACGTCTCAATTCATAAAGTGGATTGACCTAGTTTTCGCAACTTAGTATTGTTGTCAGGTGACTTAGTCGAATGCACATTGACCGAAGTTGTCTGCTATGCTAGTTAACATAATTCCCAGAATCAGACCGTGGATTTAGTACATTTGCAGACGTTTCGCCTGCATCAAAGTCGGCATCATCAGTGTCCCTTGCCATTCTTCGCACCAATCTACAAATGCATCAAAGAAGCAAGCAGAGTCAATCCCTCGACCAACATTCTGCCAAAACGGTTACCGGTCTCTTTCTGTCCTGGCCCATCTAACTACCCTTTTACCTTATCCAACTTCCGCCCTATTACAACTTTTGACTTGTTTAAATTCCACTCGTCAAAATCTGTGCCATTTTTTGGCAAAGTTAGTGTGGCCACATCACACTTGCTACTCACCTTGGCCCCCTCTCTTTCGATCGGCTAAGATGACTCGGGCCTCCTATCCGGATCTCCCTCATGGTCCCGTAGATCCGTTGCTTATCTTTCTGATTGACTGAATTCCCTCGGTTCCTGTCCCAGTGCACGTTCAACTACAGGTGCATTTTCTCAAGGCCTAAGAAGCACGTACACCGCTGCCTCATCGAGTAGAGCGCCTAGACTCTGATTCACATGCTTGGATAAGAGGGTAAGAAGTAGATAAATGGGCCAGGACAGAAAGAGGAGTGATAGTGTAACCGTTTCGGCGGAATGTTGGTCGAGGGGTTGACTTCACTTGATTGTTATACTTCATAACAGAACGACTTTAGCAACCGCAGTATATGAAATATCCCTTTGAAAGCATACCAAACACAAATAATCCCATTTTTTATATTCATTTCACTCTGAAAGTTAGAAAATAAATATAGAAACACGATCAAGTCAAGACCTTATTCGGCACATGTTAAGAATGTTTCATTGAGGATTAATAAGCCTAATATCCCCAAAAGCTCACTTGAAGCGTATCCACTCTATAAGTAGTCTCAGAAACTTACTTATAAACTAAAAAATCACTCGATATGTGCCATAAACAGTCTCTGACACTTATCCATATCCTATCTTTAAGAACAGTGTGGTAATTGAATTTCTTTAACTATTCTTAAACAATTCGAGTTTGTATAGTTTTTAACTCATACCGCATTCGTTAAATAAAATGATGTAACATGCGAATAATTATCTAAAATAAGAGTATAGGTGTGTTCTAGATTGAATTTGCATGTAAGTGGCTAGAATAAAACAAAGGCCT